TGCCTACTCGCTTTTTTTCTCTCTCATGATTCTGTAAGTTAGGTGTCCCCAGGATGTCAGGGAGTTAGGACATCCCCTAGGTCCCACAGTTCTGCCCTGCACAGAGCAGAGGACCAGGTCAGACACCCACCCCCTGTCCTCTCCACTGCCAAGTGGCTTGCCACTCCTGCCCCCAGGACCTCCACGGCGGGGGACACGAGCTGGCAGTACCTGCACAGCTTTTGGGGGGAAGAGAGGGAGAAGCCTGTGCTCATTCTCACTCGGCGGCCTGCAATTTCCACCCTTGTGGGGTCAGACCCCAGAGAGGGGAGGCAGCTCTTGCCCTGGCCCAGCCTGAGGTCCCAGGATCAGGTGGGAGACTTCGAACTGCATGCCTTGATCCCTTGTGACCAGCACCTCCTTTCCTCTCTTTTAAAATATTTCATGTCAGTGTGAAGGATGTGACAGGCCTTTCTCCATCTACGAAAGTGACATCTTTTCTGAAACAGTCACCAAATGTGTGTTCTGCCGGATGGATGCAAACGACTCAGCAGAAGGCTCATCGTCATCGGAAAGGGAGGACTCACCGTCAAGAGGGGGCAGCCTGGACAAGGATGACTGATGGCCACTGAGCCCTTTGAGTGACTTGAACACAGGCCACCTGTCATGTAGGTTTGCGGGCTCTGCAGGTGCCTTTCTCTGGGGCCCCTCCCTGGCCGAGCGGACCTGTCAGACTGAGGCAGGGGCCAAACCCTGGCTGGGCTCCCACCACTGTGCCACCTTCTCAGCTCCACAGCACCCTTGGGAATCAACTGTTTTTTTAGTTTTCATGCAGAATAAATCTGGATTTGTTTGGAAAACAAGTGTGCATGTGAATTCTACATCCTTTTTTGCTGTTTCTAAGCTTTGTGTCCTGGTGTTCATCCTGTCTTGTTTTTGGAACGAGTCCTGGACTCCTATTCTGGACTCTGGAGTTGCCCTGTAAGGCAGCCCTTGGAGGCTGGCAGCAGTAGCCCAGAGGAAGGGCTTGTCGGATGAGTAGGAAGATGTGTGGGGCCTCCTCTGGAGGAGGCTGTACAGTAGCAAGGCACTCTGGGTGCTTCCCTGGCCAATGCTCCCAGGTGGTCACCTGCCCAGAGCTGAGGAAGAGCTGGTTAGGCAGGCCGGTGGTGGGCATTTCCATCACGGAATGTTTCATGCTCTCCACCCCAGACTTTTCAATTTCCAGAATGCCCATGCATGTGTACAGCCTTCTTCCTGCTTCTGCAGCATGTAGTACAACATAAATCAATTGCTTCAGAAAGAGCAAAGGTTTCAGTTAAACATGAAGGGCTCCCTTTCCATTCGGTACGGCTCACAAGATTTCCATCAAATGTCATTAGTATGCCCCTTGGTCTGTGTTTAAAACTTAACTGCAGGACTGATTTATATACTGTCAATTGACTGGCATCCAACAATCCTGCCCATGGCCACCTTAACCTGGTAATCATTATTTGGTGGGTCTTGTGCTCCTCAGTCACAGCCCAAGTGATTGCTCAGACTGGAGCTGGCTGCTCGGTGTTTATCTATTTATTTACGAGAATGATGTATGAACACGTGGAAACTCCACTCCACGCCCTCCCAGCAACTGGGCTCTCCTTGGAAGAGAAGTCCCGTTGCTGTGGTCTCGTCCTCCCGCACATGAAGACCTGCAGATGTATTCTTCCCGCTGCTGTGGAGGCCGGCTGGACTGCACACACCGACACTGCCCTCGCTGACGGGCACGTGGGGTGTTGGTCGTTTTCCGCTACTACAAATAATACCAGAGCGCACCTTCTCGTGCATCTGTTTTGCAACTTACATCTCTGTGGATGGGAGTCTCCCACCGGAGGATTGCTGGGTGAATGATTAGCAGTGTTTGGTTTTGTTGTCGCTCAAAGGCCCTCTACCAAGCGTTGGGACGAGGTGGCTGATGTGTCTGAGCGAGGAGACCAGGGTGGGGCGAGTGTGAGGCCTGAGTGCGGAGGGCCTGGCCTTGCTCCGGCGGCAGAGACCTCCCCACTGACGGCGGTGGTGCTCCAGGACCAGCGGCCTGGGCCCCCTGAAGCTCTCCATGCCCCGGCGCCTGCTCGGGGTCCCCCAGGCCCCCGGACTCTTCCTGGGCTCAGGGTCCGCGGGAAGCCAGGGTCTGGCCCCACAGGCGGGCGGATGCCCCGATGGTCAGAGGGCGGCCGCCGGCCTCCCAGCTGAGGGCGCCAGCGTGATGGGTCGGACGCGGGGTCCCCGCGGGGCCACGGCCGGCTGTGCACCCTGAGAGGACGCCGGGGAGCGGGCAGCTGGCCGCGCGGGCGGGGCGGGGACCTGCGGAGCGGGCGGGGGCGCGGCCTCGCCGGACAGCCTGGGGGCGCTTCCTGGGCCAGTTCTGGCACCTTGCGTGAGCATCTCCCAAAGACGGGGCCACCCCGGCTCGGGCGCAGACACTACAGAGACCAGGAAGACCAGCCCGCCCCGGCCACTGCGCCCGCCGGCAGCTCCAGCCTTGCATCCGACTGGTCCCCTCAGCGACTCGTGTGAGCCGGGCCCTGCAATACGCATGCGCCTCCTGCGGACGAAACTTGTGCGCATGCACTCGGCCGACGGAATCAATGGTCATGAGGAAGAGCTTCTGGCGCTGTGTGTGCGGGCGGCGCCGTGGCTTAGTTGGTTAAAGCGCCTGTCTAGTAAACAGGAGATCCTGGGTTCGAATCCCAGCGGTGCCTCAACCGAGTGTCCCGGCCTTCGTTTTTTCCTCTGCGCCGGTACCCCGCTCCTCCTCGGTTGTGGGTGGGAGGGTGCGCCTGAGAAGCCATTTTAGCCAGGGCCCGGCGCGCGGAGGGGTGGGGCGCGGCCCGCCCTGGACTCCGCCCCCGGGGTCTCCGCGAGCTGCGGGGCGGCGCTGGCGCGGACAGCGGAGCAGGGGCACCTCTGAGGCGGCTGTGCGGCGGGGGCCGTGGGAAACGCGCCGGGGGCGGCCGGGTGGAGACGCCCCGCGGGGCGAGCGAGCAGCGAGTGTGACCCCCCGGCCGCGTCGGGGAGGGCGACCCGGGCTCCCCTCCGCCGGGCCCCGGGGGGCGGCCGCCTGGGCGCCGTGCGCAGCGCCACCTGCGCTCGCTGTCCCCGTTTCCGATTGCAGACTGGGGCTTGGGGAGCGCGAGTGAGCCCAGAGCGCGGGCGCCGCGCCGGGCGGAGCGGAGGGCTGCATCCGGCCGGCGTGGCCCTGCGGCGGGTGGGAGGAGGAGAGCTCCGCGGAGGGCGGGACCCCCGGGACGCGCTGTGCCGAGCTCGGAGCCGGCTTCCCCGCGGGCGGGGTGGAGGCGTCACCCTAAGGCCGCGGCGGCGGCTGCTGGTCTCCAGGGGCTGCGCAAGCAGACGGTGGGGGGCCTGACCCGGAGCGGTTGCACCGGAGGCTCTGGGGCTGCGGTGAGCCATTGGGATTAAAAAAAACCGTCACGCAGGAATTCTCATAGCAAACTCAACAAAATGCATGTCAGATGCAACAGGACAGTCCCAACGAGCTGCAGGAATTGCCGCGATGGCGTCAGAATAGTCAAATTCACCTGCGCCAGAGGCAGCTCTTCTCGCCTCTCCCCCGGGTCTGGGTTTATTGTCTATTGTTTACTTTTCCTCTTGTTTTTGGGTCAGTTCTTGCCCTTTGCAGCCTAGTTGTTTCTGATTGACATTGCAAAGGAAAACTTGTAGGGGTATTTTGAGCCTTTGCAGTTCTGATAGGAGCGCTCTCCCCCGTCCAATCAGAGGTGACTTGATGGGTAACAGGGCTTGAGTTATTGTGGGGCTGGTTTTTTTCCGGCGCATCTTGACTGCTAGCCTGGGGTATACGGGGTCAGTTTTGAGCATTTGCCTATTAGGTGGCCAAGGAGAGATGTTCGTTGGGGGTGTGAGTCTGGGTCTTAGGGAGGGTCAGCTGGAGAAAAGCATTTGTGGGCCATCAGCCTCGCCTGCAGCAGATGACTTGGAAGCCACTGGATTGAGTGAGGACCCCTGGGCAGTGAGCAAAGCCAGAAAAGAGAAATAGGCCCAGGGTTAAGTCCACCCCCACTTCTGTTCTTTAGAAATGCCATGCTATTCCTGCCTCAGGGCCTTTGCACTTGCTGTGCCCTGTGCTTGGAATGCTGTTTCCTGGGCCCTTCACAGGAATGGGTCTTTTTCTGCTTATGGTCTTAAGTGTCTCACCTCTTTGGGAGTCCTCCTCTCTGCAGGAGTGCCTGCCCACCCCAGGCCAGCTTCCAATACATCATCCTGCTAATTTCTTACAGCCTTTTCACAGTCTAAAATCATCTTATTTGTCTATTGTCTGTTTCTTCAAATAGAATCAAGCACCAAGGGGTGAGGAGCCACATGTGTCTGTTTACCTCTGTGCCCCCAGTACCTAATGGTGCTTGGAACATACTAGGTGTTGGCGTACATATGACTTTTTTTTATTGATCATATTATCTTGGTTGCATTATGGAATTTGACATTTGGGGACAGCTAGTCCATCTTTTCAAATGCTGTAAGGCAGCAGTTCTCAAAATGTGGTTCACGGACCCCTAGGGGTCCCCAAGACTCTTTCAGGTGGTCAAATCTATTTTCATAATTATACTAAGATGTTATGTTGTTTTTTCACTGTGTTGATGTTTGATTGATGTGCAGAAGCAGTGGTGGGCAAAACTGCTGACACCTCAGCAGGAAACAAGGCAGTGGCAGCAAAGGTCCCTGGTTGTCATTGTATTTATTCTTCACTATCACACTTTCGCAGGAAAAAAAAGTCAATTTCACTTAAGAATGTCCTTATGAAGCAGTACACATGATCGATTTTATTAAATCTTGGTGCCTGAGTACACCTTTTCCATATTTTGTATGAGGAAATAGGAAGTAGGCAGAAATGCCGAGTACTGAGGTGCAGTGCTTGTTCTGAGCAAGAGAACTCGTGTGATTATTTGAGTCGTCAGCTAACATGGCCACGTTCTTCACGGAACGCCATTTTTACTTGGGAAGATAACTGACAGGCAAACTATGCTTCTTCAGACTTGGGTACTTAACAGACATCTTGAAAATGAGTCAAGTGGGCCTGTCACTTCAAGGAAAACAACTACAGTGTTTGTTGTCAATGATAAAATCTGAATTTCCAAGCGAAAACTATACTTTTGGAGAAGTTGTATACACCACCATGAGCTTGACAGCTTTCCAATATTTAAAAACTTTCTGATGAGATTGGTGGTTATATTAATAGATATTTTTTGATATTATATAATGAAATGTGTCAACATTTGAAGATATGCATAATTTGGTGAACCAGTATTTTCCAAGTGACCGATGGATGATCCATTTAAAGAGTGAAGTATGCCAGTATATTTTTTTCCTCTATGTGTTTGTTTATTGTTGTTATTATCTACAATGCCAGTATATTTTAATGTAACAATATGAATAGTTCATCGGTGTGGTTTCAGGTTTCACACTACCATTTATTCAGTTTTGGTGTAGTATGAAAAAAGAATATCCACACTTTTCTGGAAAAGGCTATTAAAATACTCCTCCCTTTTCCAACTACGTATCTGTTTGAGAACAGATTTTCTTCTACTTCAACCGAAATAACACATCATAACAGACCAAATGCAAGAGTAGATATGACAATCCAGCTGCCTTCTATTAAACCCAACATAAAACAGATTTGCAAAACCATAAGACAATGCCATCCTTCTCACTCAATTTCGTTTTATTTTGTAAACAGTTTCATAAAAACATTATTTATGTTAACATGTAATGGATTTATTATTGTTATTTTAAAATGAATTAACAAATATTTATAAGTTTTTCTGTTTTAATTTCTAAAATCTCAGATAGTGATAGATAGATTCCAAATAAAAGCTTATGTGAGATCCTCAGTAAGTTTTAGGAGTGCAAAGAGATCTCAAGATCAAAAAGATTGAGAACCACTGTTTTGGGGCCTCAAGAGGTCTTAAGAGAGGCAGGATAGGCAAGAGTGTTGGGGGGTCTGAGGGTTGGGTGGATTCCCCTCAATGGAACAACTTTGAATTGTGGTGACTGGATTGGAATATGACGACAGCCCCATTTTCGTTGATTGATGACTCGGATAATGTTGAGTGAATTATCTTGATTAGATCACAGAATTATGATTTAAATAAAGGTTTAAAATTATACAATCATACCGATAAATCCTCCTGATGAAAATTTGAATAAGAAATATGTAGACCAAAATACATGAGCAGAAGTATAATGTAAGGGGTAAGAACACAGACTGGCGCCAGGCTGCGTTGCCATGTACTAGCCGTGTATTTGTTGCCAGTAATAAATATTGAGCACATTTCTCAACCTCTCGGTGACTCAGTTTCCACATATGTGATACGGCAATAGTAATAATAAATACCTCATTTGGTTGACCTAAGGACTAAATGAGTTATGTTCAACCTTATGTCACCTAGAGAAGGTTCTACATAGGGGTTTACTGGTCTATTTAGGTCTTCAGCTGATTGGATGAGGCCCACTCCCCTTCGGGAGGGCAATGTGCTTTATTCAGTCTACCCATTCAAATGCTAATCTCATCCAGAAACACCATCACAGACACACCCAGAATAATGTTTGATCAAATATCTGGGCACCCCAGGGCCCAGTCAAGTTGACACATAAAATTAACCATCACTGGCACCTGCCAAAAAAAAACACCCCATACCCTTAACTATGAGGGTTCTAGTTTCTCTACATGCTTAACAACACTTGTTATTGTCTGGTTTTTTTGATAGAGCTGTCCTAGTAAATGTGAAGTGGTATCTCACTGTGGTTTCGATTTGCATTTTTCTAATGACTAATGATGTTGAGCATCTTTTCATGTGCTTATTGGGCATTTGTAGATCTTCTTTGGAGAAATGTCTATTCAGATCCTTTGCTCATTTTTAAAATTGGGTTGTCTTTTTATTATTGCACTTCAGTAATTCTTTTTATATTCTAGATGCAAGTCCTGTATCGGATACATGATTTGCAAATATTTTCTCCCATTCTGTGAGTTTTCTCTTCTCTTACTTCATGTTGCCATTTGCAGAGCAAAAAATTGTTATTTTGATCAAGTCTAATTTATCTATTTTTTCTTTTGTTGCTTATGCTTTTGGTGTAATATCTAAGATTCCATTGCTAAATCCAAGGTCACAAAGATTTACACTTATGTTTTTTCCAAGGGTTTTAAAGTTTTTGCTTTCACATTTAGGTCTCTCTGATCCACTTTGAGTTAACTTTGTATATGATGTGTAGTAAGGGTCCAATTTCAGTCTTTTGTGTGTGGATATATGCAGTTGTCCCAGCACCATTGTTGAAAATCAGTTGACCATAAGTATTCTCTCCCCAAGGGTCTGGGCGTGCTTGTTGAAAATTAATTGACCATACATGTGAGAGCTTTATTTCTGGATTCTCAATCCGATTCCATTGACCTCTGTGTCTATCCTTATACTAATACTACACTGTCTTGATAACTGCAGCTTTGTAGTACGTTTTGAAATTGAGAAGTGTGAGTCCTCCAACTTAATTTTTCTTCAAGATTGTTTTCGCTCTTCTGGGTCCCTTGAATTTCCATATGAATTTTAGAATGTTTGTCAATTTCTGCAAAGAAGGCAGCTGGGATTTTGATAGGGATTGCATTGAATATGTAGATCATTTTGGGGAGTATTGTCATCTTAACAATAGTAAGTCTTCCACTCCATCAACATGGGATGTCTTTCCCTCTATTCAGATCTTCTCTAATTTCTTTCAACAGTGTATTTTTAGTTTTCAGAGTATAAGATTTGCACTTCTTTTCTTAAATTTCTTCTTAAGTATTTCTTCTTTTTGATGTTATTGTAAATGGAATTGTTTTCTTAATTGCATTTTCAGATTGTTCATTGCAATGTATAGAAATACCATTGATTTTGTATCTTAATCTTACATCTTGCAACCTTGCTAAACTCACTTATTAGTTCTAATAGTTTTTTAGTGAATTCCTTAGGATTTTCTATACACAAATCATGTGTTCAGTGAATAGATTTACTTCTTTTTTTCCATTCTGGATGTCTTTTATTTCATTTTCCTGCCTAATTGCTTTGGCTAGAACCTTCAGTGCAATGTTGAATAGAAGGGGTAAGAGCACTTTTTCCTGATGTTTGGGGCAAAGCATCTAGTTTTTCACCATTATGTATGATGTTAGCTGTGGATTTTTCAAAGATGCCTTTTATCAGGTTGAAGAAGTTCCCTTCTATTCCTAGTTTGTTGAGTGTGTTTATCATGAAAGGGTGGTGGATTTTGTCAAATGGTTTTTCTACATCTGTTGAGACAATTATGTGGTTTCTGGTTTTTATTCTACTGATATGGTGTATTACATTAATTCATTTTCAGATGTTAAACCAACCTTGCATTCCTGGGAGACATCTCATGTGCATGTGTTTTTAACATAAATGATCAATGTGTTCATCTTGGAAGTCTTTCCTGCTAGGTGGCCCTAGATTCCTTATCTTCTCATTTACTGCTCTCCACTGTTCCTGGCTTGGCTGTGGCTGTTACGTGAATCAGACGACCCCTCCCTCATTGGTGGACATGTTGGTGGTGGTAGGGGTTGTTTCTGAATCTCATCACAATGGACAAAGCTCGGATGGCACTCCCCTCACACACAGATTTCTTTGTGCACATGAGTTTTTTTAAGACAGAGTTGAGAAAGGACTGCTGGGTGTGGTGTGTGCAGGCCACACTGATTTCCCTCCTCCCGCTGTCCTGGAGTACCCACTCCTCCACACCCTACCAGCACTGGACCCTGCCAACATCAGGGACAGTTTTGCAAAATGCCATCTCATTGTTGTTTTTAATCCACATATCCCTTGCTTACAAATGTAGCTGGGCATCCTTCTATATGTTTATTGGCCATTTGTATTCCTTCTGTGAATTCCCGTTCATATCCTTTGCTCAGTATTTCACTTGTGTTGTTTGTTTTCCTTACTGATTTGTAGGTGGAATTTATATTAGATAAGAATCCTTTGCCTTTTACAGATGTAATCAATATTATCTCTCAGTCTGTCATTTGCCTTTTAACTGTGTTACAGAGTCTTTCATCTTCTCATTTATTTGTGTCATCTTTCAAGTCTTTTTTTTGGTTTATAGTGTTCTTAATCTAGGTCTTGTGTATTTCTTGCTGGGTTTATTTCTAGGTATGGTGAATAGGATAATTTTCCTATTATTTTTTAATTCCTACACTCCTGCTATGTAGGAATGCCCTTGATGTTTAGATGTGGCTCTTTAAAGCAGGCTTCTTGCCTGGCTCTCTTATTACTGCCAATAATTTGTTAGATTTTTTTGGCAGATTCTGTATTGTGCAAATTGGGATTTTTGAATGATAAGTTTAATCTTAAGAAAAAAAGATAATTTAAAAACTGGAAAAAGATATCTGCAATACATGTAAGTAAAAAATAATTTCAGCAGAGGAAGGGCCCAATGGGTTTAGCAGAGCAGTAGAAATCACTTCATTTTATTAGAATTTGAAAAGCCAGGTTATCAACAATCCCAGTCTTTAGTGTTTACCCAAGAGAAATGAAAACAGTATCCACAAGAAGACTTGTACACAAATGTTCACAGATGCTCTCAATACAATAGCAAAAACTCGGACCAGCCCAGGTGTCCATCACAGGAGACAGATAAACTGTGGCACCTCCAGGCAATAGACGTCTACACAGCAATGAAAAGGAGTGGCCTTCAGATGCTTAGACCAGTCTCATGTTGTGCAGAGTAAAACAGTACAGAGTTTATGATTCCATTTATGTGAAACTCGAGGAAATGTCAATTAATCTATAGTGAGAGCAGATCAATGGTTGCCTGTGTGATGGAGGGATTGAGAAGGGGCCCAAAAGAACTTTTTGGGGTGATGGACATGCTCTTTATCTTGGTAGGGGTGTGGGTAGGTATTTATCAAAACCCATTAATTGTACACTTAAGATCTATGCATTTTACGCATGGAAGTTAATCTCACTTAAAATATTAAAACAATCAATGTCATGTTGACAGCAGTCTGGATCTTCCCCCCGTCTGTGCCCCCAGCTCCACGCAGATTTGCCTCTGCTGCCCGTTGCCTTTGCCCTCACAGTAGGGCCGGGCCTCCATCTGGGGGCTGCCCCATCACCCTCTATTTCTACCTCCTGTGCAATTCCATCCTAAGGGGTTCCAGATAGAGGATCATCTGGGCGAGGAGAGCAGAGATGTACATACCTCCTTAGCTGCTTCCTGGGAAGGCTTTCACATTTAATGATCATCTGGAGAAGTGGCCTCAGCCTTCGGGAAGAACCCCCCACTGCGCTGGGTTCTCAGCCCGGGTAGACACACTCAGCCCTCGATTTTTCTCACCCTACTCCTGCTCAATCATGTTTTTATAGATCAAACTGTAATGTTGAATGTATTTGTACAAATGATATAAGATTTTATTATTTAACTTAGGTTAACTAATGTAGAAACAAAACATTTCACACCACATTTTCTTATAATTAATTAGATTATACTTTAATACAAAAAACTCATCAAAATTTAACCCAAATTCAGCAGACATGGAGTGTCTACTAGGTGTAGACGATTTACTACGTGCTCTGGAGGCTGTATACGAGAGGTTAGAAGGTCGAGGGGGCAAATTTAGGCTGGCGGGGCATTAAGAGGGGAGTGAAGGGCAAGTGTAGGAATTAGTGTGGACTGGTTTCCAGCCTTCACATTTTGGTTCCTCACCGCCGTTTCCCTGAGATACTTGATCATTTCCCTCCGAACGGAGAGTGGCTCCTTAGAAGGCTGTTGCAATTAGTTATTTTAGAAAATAAAGTGGTACTGAGTCGGCCACCAGCTGTGCTTCCTCTGCTCTGGGTGGCAGATTACCTGGCCCACCTGTGTGTGCCTGGGACTGAGTTCATAAAGGAGCTTGGGGACTTTGCATTAAGGAGGATTCTGGAGGCTGGTTGATGCTCCAGGGTGAATGCCTCAGCAGAGCTTCCGCGGGTCAGCCCCAGGGGCACACAGCTCAGGGTGGCCTTGGGTGTGGGGGCGGGCACCTGGGAGGGCTGCCAAGCAAGGGACTTTCAGTAAATCCACGCCTGTGAGAAGCCAGCCCTGGAGATGGCCGGGCTGATCAGATTCATGGTGAGACACACACCCCTGATTTCCCTCTTCCACTGAATCCCAAAGCTCTTTTTAATGCACGATGGTAAAAGAATTTTGTTTTAATCACTACAACATATAGTACAAAAACATAATTATATGACCTGTTTCATCAACCAATATTTCTAGACCACATTTTCTAAGTTTGTAAAATATCCTTGTTATTGAGCTAAGAATTTATTCTAGATCATGGCATTTCAAAATGAGACTGGAGGTAAACACATGCAGAGACCTGCAATTATGATTATTATAGTTTTTATTTCTTACATTCTAGAATGAACAAATTTGTAATTAGCGTATTTGAAATTAGTCTATTAGCTACATTAACAGGTACAAGTGCTCCCCATAATTTTGAGGTTATGCTATATTTTTTACTCACAACCAACCACAAGAGTATGGCATATACACCTTTATTGTTGCATCTTCTAATCTATAATTTTTGTAACAATTGTTAAATATTAGTATAATTCTTTTTTTTTGCTGAGGAAGATTCACCCTGAGCTGACATCTGTTGCCAGTCTTCCTCTTTTTTTTTATGTGAGCTGCTGCCAGAGCGTGGCCACTGAGAGACGAGTGGTGTAGGTCCACGCCCAGGAACTAAACCCAGACCACTGAAGCAGAGGGCGCTGAACTTAACCACTAGGCCACTGCAGTTGACGCAATAGTATAATTCTTTAAAACTACTTCCACCACCAAAAACTAACCATGCAACATGATAGAACAGAACAGCAAATGCAGGTTCCAGTTCTTGACTGGAGGCCAACAGATTCTGACAGGTAAAGTGGGTGTAAACAAAACGTGTCCCAAAACGTGCTGGGTTGTGTTTCCTGGCATTTTCATCAGTGCCCTTTGGAGACGGGTCCGATCGAAGGAGAAGGTGTCAAGGCACAGGGAGGGCTCGAGAGCAGCCGTGGGACCGAAGCCCTGAGGGGAAGGGAGGTGACCCCTTGGGTGGGAACAAGTCACTTGCAGCAGACACCGGTCCTGAGCCCTGTGGCTGGTGCACGGGCCTCCGTGCTCCTTAGGACTCCTTCGACTGAGAAAAAGAGAGCTTCCTTGGCTCCTGACACTGGGAGGTCCAAGGCAGGCGCTGACTTCTGGTTGGGGTGACTCCAGAGTCTCCAGCTATGCCTTCAGGACCCACGCATTCTCCATCTCTTGGCTCTGCTTCCTTTGGGGTTGCCTCCGGTTCAGGCAGGAGGGGAGTTGGCTGCTGGTGGCTCCACACTGACATCCTGCTGCCCCACCAGCTCGCTGCTCTGAAATCTTGGCTGAGCCTTGTGAGCCAGCGTTGGGCCTCAGGCCTTTCCTGGACATGATCTCTGAGACCAGGGGAAGGAATATAAGATGTGCAGTGATTGGCTCAGGTCTGGATCACAGGGCAGTCCCTGAGTCTGGGGGGTGGGGAGAGCTGATCAGCTCCACTCACCCCTGGGCTGAGCATGAGGCCCGCCAGGGCCCAAAGACAGTAGAGATGCTGTTACCGGGAGGAGGGGAGGGAGGGCTGGGAGGGTGAAGCCCACAGTGTCCGCTCGTGATCCTGCCCACACATTAGCATCTGCTGCTGAATGACTCAAGAGACCTTCTGAAGGGCCCTCTGAAAATCTCCTTGATTGCTGAGTGCAAAAAACTAGAGGAAGGAAGATACATGCAATATGATAGTGTTTATTATGATTAAAACAAAAACGAAATCAAACTCAAATGGTGTATTTTCTATGGATACACATATCCACATACAGGTCCAAAAAATTTCTTTAGGGTCAGAAAGGTAGATATTAAATTCATTTCAGTGATTACCTCTGGAAAGGTAGGGAGGAGGCTGGGATGAGGTGTCGAGAGCTTGGCTTTATATATACTGGACTAAATTTTAAAATTTAATTAAAAAATAATTTACATATAATAAAATTCACTCTTTCTGGTGTATAGTTTTGACAAATGCATAGAGTCATGTAACCAACACCACAATTACCATAAAGAACAGTTTCATCACCCCAAAAATCTCCCTTGTAGTTAACCCTTCCACAGATCCCAGCCTCTGGAGACCGCTGATCTACTCTCCATCCCTAGCGTTTTGCCTGTTAGAGAGTGCCATACAAATGGACTCCTACAGTAGGTAGCCTTTGAGTCTGGTTTCTTTCATCCACGTTGTGTATGTGTATCAGGAGTTTGTTCTTTGTTTTCTGCTGAGTGGAATTCCATTGTTTGGATGTATCAGAGTTTGTTTATCTTCTTGAAGGAGATTTGGGTTATTTCCAGTTCGGTGCCATTATGAATAAAATTGCTATAAATATTCACATACAGATTTTTGTGTGAACATAAGTTTTTATTTCTCTAGGGGAAATACCTACGGGTGGGATTGCTGGTCATAGCATAGTGTAGGTTAATCTTTATAAGAAACTGCACACTGTTTTCACAATGCCTATAGCATTTTGCATTCCCACCAGTGATGTCTGAGAATTCAAATCGCTCGGCAGCTTCCCCAGCACTTGATATCACCAACGTTTTTATTTTAGCCATTCTAATAAGTGTGTAGTGGTTTCTATTTGCGGTGTTAAAAAATCTTTTTATTTGAAATAATTTTAGACTTACAGAAGAGTTGCAAAAATAGCATAGAGAGTTCCCATGTACTCTTTGGTCAGCTCCCTAATATGAACATATTACATAATCACCATATGTTTATCAAAACAAAGAAATTAACACTGGTGTAATACTAGTAACTAAACTACAGACTTTACTCGGATTTCCCTTGTTTTCACTCATGTCCATTTTTGGTTCCAGGATCCAGTCTGGGATCCCACATTGCATGTAGTCTTCATGTCTCCTTACCCTCCCCCACTAGGTGACAGCTTCGTGACTTTGTCTTTCATGACTTTGACACTTTTGAAGAGCACTGCTCAGGTGTTTGGTGGAATGTCCCTCAATTTGGATTTGTCTGACGTTTTCTCATAATTAGACTGAGATTATGGATTTTGGGGAGAATACCATACAAGTTTTGTGGGTTTTTTTGTGTTTTTTTTTAGCACTTTATTATTTTCGGTCTCTGCCAGCTCATCTGTATATTCTCTGTCCCAGCCCTAGAATCAACCTCTTCCCCAAGGATCCCTGGTTTCTTATTTTAGAGAACCTTATATTAGAATATTAGAAATCAAGATCTGGATGCTGGGTGTGCTCATTGCTGCTGGGGTGTCACTGCCTCTAGGCCCTCTCAGCAGACAGAGCTGGGGAATTTTGTGTATGTATTCTAAGCACCCACACACATATCTGTATCTCTGTCTGTGTAGATACATACTTTAACAAATGAGTTCAGGCTGATATTTCTGACTCTAATCCAGTGCCACAGTGTTCATTTTAGCATTCCCCCTTGCTTTTTCTGTAACTTCTTTCTCAGTCGATGAAAAACCTGTCTCTCTCATTATCTTCAATACATTTACTTATTTGTTCACCTCTACTATACATGTAATAGTTTCAGAATTCATAGCCTGTATCTGTTTGAGAAACAAATTTACCACTTAGAGCACAGTTTATGTACAGTTCTTTTTCTCTTTAGTCTTACAGTATCTAGTCAAGACTCTGTCTTAGCTCCTTTCTTCCTCATCAGTTTCAGTGTGGTTAAGCCATCCATTTGTACACAGATTCATTTGTCACAGTGGGCATCCCATCTTGGATCCCTCTGACATTCTGAGTGATTTCTAAAAATTTGCATACAGTAAAATTCACTCCATGTGGTGTACAGATCTATGGATTTTTGACAGATTACATGGACTGATTTTCCAGTGTTGAACAGCCTTGCATTCCTGGGATAAACTTGATTTAGTTGTCATATACAGTCATGTGTTGCTTAATGATGGGGATACAGTCTAAGAAATGTGTTGTTAGGTGATTTTGTCATGGTGTGAACATCATAGAGTGTACTTACACAAACCTAGATGGTATAGCCTGCTACACACCTAGGCTATATGGTACAAATCTTATGGGATCACTGTCATATATGCAGTCTGTTGTTGACCAAAGTGTTGTTATGTGGAGCATAACTGTATTATCCTTTTAATATATTGCTGGATTAAGTTTGCTAATATTTCGTTGAGGAATTTTGTGTCTATGTTCACTTGGCACATTGGTCTGTAGTTTTCTTTTCTTGTAAAGGCTTTCTCTGGTTTTGGTATCAGAATAAATCTGGCCCATATAGTGAGTTGGGAAGTTTCCCTCCTGTTTTATTTTCCTGAAAAGGTTGTGTAGAATTGATATGATTTCTTCCTTAATTGTTTGGTAGAAGTCAAGAATGAAACCATCTAGCCATGAAGATTTCTTTGTCAGAAGATTTTCATTACAAATTCAATTTGTGTAATAGATATAGCACTATTCACTTTATCTGTTTCTCCCTGAGTGAGCTTTGGTAGCTTCTTGTAAAGTTGAACATACTCTTACCATACAGTCCAGCAATCCTGCTCCTAGGTATTTACCCAAGTAAATTGAAAACTTGTGTTGACACCAAAACTTTTTGATTCAGAAGTTCATGGCAAGTTGCATGACACTACAGGAATATCTAGGAATGGCTCTTGCTTGATGCCAATTCCCAGGGGCTTCAAGACAAGACAACCCTAGCCCTTGACGACAGCTGGGCGCCTGACCCAGGAAGGCCCACACAGGAGAGCACCTGGCTAGGCTGGGCCAATCAGAGCCATTCCATAGAATTTGGAACTTGGGTGCATCTCCTGTAATGTTCAGACCCAGGTGCTGTGGGTGATGGTGGTGGTGGTGGGGCGCCATGTTGTTGCAGGAAACAGAAGATGCTGGGGAAAAGAACATAGCAAGCACAGGGAGAGGGGCTAGGATGAGAGACCCAAGCTCCCACGTTTCTCTCTGCATTCCTGTCCTGAGCTCTGGGACACATCCCAGGCCAGAGTCCCTTAGGAAAAGTTGAATCAGGTTTTCATTACTTGCAACTGGAAGTGTTCTAATGCTTAAATGTCTCTCCTTGGATAACTTACGTTTTCTTCTAGAGAGGAGAGTTGTTCCATGTCACCTGTCCCTTGCCCTCCCTTGGCCTCCTCCTCCTCAGTCTGAGTGCCGGGCCCCTGTGGCTGAGCCATGCCACGCTGCTCCTCACTTCCGTCTTTCATAAAGTGAGGGAAATCCTCTCTGACTTCCTGCGTGCAGGGATCTTGCATGGAGAGGGTGCTCAAAGGACAGCTAGCACAAGGCTGTTGTCAGGAGGGACACCAAGACTTGCCTGAGGTGATCTGAATTTTGGGCTGAGATATATCCAAGAGTGGCAACGACAATGGGGATAATGATTTGGGATTTTTGCCTCCCCAGGAGCAGAAAGCAAACTTGTTGCCTTGAAGCTGTTACAATTCTCTTGAGAGCTGTTATTATTATTGTTGTCGTCATCATTATGGTTACAACCAGACTTGACTGAGCGCCCTGAGTTCACAGTGGTTCTGAGTGTGCCCGTGTTCTCCCTGCCACCCGAACTTGACTACTTCATGGCTACCTGTGGCCGCACTTTAGATCAAATCAGATTAGACTTTGGCTTTTGCTGACAAGGAAACTGGGATTGTTTTCTCCTCTTTAGTTATAGAAATGAAAAAAAGAAAAATGAAAAGAACATGTCTCTTGGTTTTCCAAGTGGCATAGAACGTTATTTAAATAAATAGTTGAATTAACTTTTGGGATGGACATTTCTGATGCTTGTTCTCTGGGGAAAACAAACGTTACTACCTTGTTTTTTGCACAATTTCCTTTGTTGACAATATAGTGATTCAAGTGGAAGAAGGCCAACCCCCAGGATCTTGGCAACCTCCTGCTACACGCAGTTCGCTAGGTGCCAAGGATGATGTTAAGTTGATCTTGGCTTCAGCTAGCAGAGAGAATGTAAATTTGTATTTCCAATGCTAAATAGCTTGCTTTTTTCTTTGTTTTCTGAGATTTAGGAGCTGGAAGGAGACCTATAAGATTCTTGGCGCTGATCACATCAGCTGCTATGATGCTAACAATTCACATATTGAAAAACTTCTGTTGACAAATGTGCCCTTCTGAGAGGCTTAAGGAGACACACTTTTATTTGGTCTTGTTCCTCAGGGTAGTGTACATTCCTCTCTATTTCCGAATATTTTTTTTTCTTGAAAAAGTCATAAAAGGTAGGAATAGGCAATTCACAAAGGAAGAAAGGCAAACGGCCAATAAACATAAGAAAAGATGTTCAATTGAGTAAATGCAAATTGAAGCAGTGAGATTTTTTTCCTCCAGCCACAGAAGAAAATATTATATAAAGGCTGATGATGGTCCCCAGAGTCGCGGAGAAAGCAAGCACTTTTTATATCCCACCTTCTAGGCGCAATCTGGCGATGTGCATGAGTGTGTAAACGGCTCCCTCTGGCTCAGAAACTGTACCTCCAGGCACTCGTGTTAAAGACCCGACAGGATCCCTTTATTGGGTCTTTAAGGATGAAGACTGAGGTCATCTACTGAAGATTACTCAGCAGAGAGACCAGAAACAACCTAATTTCCGCCAGCAGGAATGGGTTAGACGAAAATGACGTGCTTGGCTCTCCCTGGGGTCCAGGGCAGGCGCTGAGAAGGAGGGTGCAGGACCTCACATGTGGTGTGGAGACACGTCTTTGGTATATTGCCAAGTGAAAGCATCATGAAACGGTGCTTATTGTGATTACATTTCTGTGAAAAATCTGTATGCATGTTTAAAAAAGTAGTCTGGCCAGTTACAAAGGGACAAAGATTGCGTGGTTCCACTTATGTGAAGTACCTAGAGTCAAATTCGCAGAGACGGAAGACAGAACGGCGGTTGCCGGGGGCCGTGGGGAGGGGAGAACAAGGAGTTATTGTTTCATGGGTACAGAGTTTCAGTTTGGGAAAATGAACAAGTCCTAGAGATGGATGGTGGTGATGCCTGCACAACAGTGTGAAGGTACTTAATGCCCCTGAATGGTACACTTAAAAATGGTAAATTTTATGTTATGTATATTTTACAACAGTACACTTTTTTTAAATATTTTTTTTGAGGAAGTTTGGCCCTGAGCTAACATCTGTTGCCAATCTTCGTCCTTTTTTCTCCCCAAAGCCCCAGTACATAGTTGTATGTCATAGTTGCACATCCTTCTAGTTGCTGTATGTGAGACGCTGCCTCAGCATGGCTTGATGAACAGTGCATAGGTCCTTGCCGAGGATCCGAGCCCATGAACCCCGTGCAGCCAAAGCGGAGCGCGTGAACTTCACCACTATGCCACTGGGCCAGCCCCAGAACAATTTTTTTAAAAAGCAGCTGGAAGAATATTTGCCAGAATAACAGTGTTATTCTCTATGTGCTTGATCTTTGTTTTCTTTACAACGAGTGTACATTACTTTTATATTCTGTGAGCCCATCTTGGCCAGCCAGTGAGCTGTGGATTCATTGAATACCTCTGTTTCCATTTAAAATTTAAAAATGTTATTATGTAGACTTGGAACCCACCCCCCACACCCTCCCTCAAGTGTTTCTGTCTGTCAGATTTTCCCTTAGAAGCAAATGTGCAATTCTTGCCCCCCTTCCCCTTCCACCCCCACCCCAGACTTCCCCACAAGAGACGGGACAGACTTAGCGTGGGTCCTGCCACGTTTTCTGGTAGAACATCAGTCCTGGCCCCTGCAGACCTCTCATACCCACGGTGGGCACCACCGCCCGTTCTAGCCGCTGGGGGAGTTTGTCAGGGAGGGAGAGGATGTTCTGGGGGCAGTTCATGGAACCCATGGCAGCAAGGCTGGGCACCTGCTTGGCACTGGCAGAACAAGGAGCGGTTCCAAGAACCAGCCGCCAAACTCCCTGTCCCCACCTCACCTCCCTGCTCTGGAACCAGGGCCTGAGAGAGGTGGTGACTGGCTGATTTTGGTCACGTGC